AGATAGCCACCCAGCCAGCACAGCTCCCATACCTGCTAGACCCTAACACCCAGGAGCTAGAGAGGTTGTGCAGAGCTGACCTGGCTGCTTTAGTGTAATCAGAACACACAGGTCTAGGATAGGGGTCCAGTAGGCAGGGGGAATCTGATTGTGCTCCTCCTGTGTCATCTCCCAAACCTGACAGATTCTGTTTGGATTCTGCAAAGCAAACACGTCAGAAAGTTGCTGTGAACTGGACCAACTTCAGCCTCAAGAAAACCACTCCCAGCACAGCTCAGTGAGGTATAGAAACCCCCAAGTGTTGTGTGTACCTCCTCCCGATGCTTTGCCAGCTTCTGTGCCCTCACTAGACCATTTCATGCTCTGAGGCACAGGGAGTTGGACTGGGGGCTTGGCATCCCTGGCCTCTGCACCTCCACAGTGACAGCCCAGCAAGCTATGCTCTCTGGAGGCATAGACCCCCTTCTCTTCTGCCGCCATTTATCCCTAGGCCTCTGTCCTTTTCATCGCTCCTCCCTGGGCCATGCCCTCCCGTGAGCTCTCCTGCCTATGCTCCTGAAGGGTTCCTTCCTGCACTACCATCCCCTGGGGTATCTCTACCAGGCCTCTACTTCCTATATGCTGCCTCCTAAAGTGCCCTGGCAACCATGGGCCCCAGAGGGCTGTCCCCATCCCTGACGTTATCAGCCTCGGGGTTGAATCACACTTGCTGTGCCTGGCTCTTCCATGCAGGCCATCAGGGCCAGCCCCGAGGGAGCAGTGAGGCACAGCCAACCTAGACAAGGCCTTAAAGGTCATTTGGTCATGGAGGGAAGAGTTTGTGGGTGCTCTCCCTCAACAGGATAGGTTCCATGAGGGCACTGATAATGAAGCTGCCTCATAGAAAAAGAGACCTGGCCCCCAGCTGAGCTCTGGCCTCCTCTCCTAGCCATCTGCACAAGCCCTTTTGTCTCAATTATTGACCAGTAATGTCCTGGACTGAAACAGAAGACTGGAGAAGGCACTAGGCTGTAAACCATAGTACAAAGAGAAGTGTGGCTGGCAGGCAGACTTTGATGCTGGGTTTGGGGCCTAATGGCTATGCAGTGCCATATCTCAACCCTTTTCTGGTTGGCAACTGCACAGTGCCCTTAAAGCAACAGGACACTGGGGCAGGTGGCTGAGCCCAAGGACCCCCAAACCTGCACCCAGGAGGGTATCCTCACCTCCTGTCTTCCTCTTTCTAGTTCCAGGGCAGCTCCTCTTTGTGCCAGAGCAGCAGACTCCCTGGATCCTTGGCTGAGTCTCCTTTTCCGCTGGCCTCAGCTCCCCAGGGGCAGCCTTTGGGACTGGGCTCCCTGTGGCACCTTTGTGCTGCCCCTGAGTCAGGACTTCCCTCAACCCTATTTCTCTGACGGGCTGGGCTCCCGGATCCTTTGCCAAACAGATATATGCACACTCCCAAGAGCTCCTGCCAGGAGGGCCAGGATGCCCTCTTGCCTTTCTTCTCTGGAACCAGGAGTGACGGGGACCCACGCAATTTCATTTGTTGTCCCTTCTGAGAGAGAGGGGTGTACCTCCTCTCTCAGGCCCAATGTCCCTGACACTTCGGAAACTTCATCGAGCCATCTTCTCCCTCTGGCTGATCTCTCTCCCAAGACAGGAGATGCTCCCTCCCCTGATCTCCTTTGACCTTTACCCTCCTCAGAGCACAACTGGGAGCCCTGAGTGCAAGAAAAAGCAGAGACTTGGGACCAGCCCAGGCTGTGTACCTGGAGCTTGAGGCAGGAATTTAAGTGCAGAGACAGCCTCTCCCCTGCCTGTACTCAGGAGAGCACATGCCAGAAGCTAGGCTGTTGCTCCACACTGTCCTGGGGAAGGGTGTGCTGCCACAGGGGACCATGAACTCCTAATGGATGGTCCCACATTCCTTGAGATCTAGGATGATGTTTCACATGTTGATAGAACGCCAGGACTGGGGCTCTGTTTCCTGACAGAGTCTTAACTTTCATCGTCTGCTGGAGGTGACTGAGGAAATCTGTGGGAGCAAAAGTAGGAGGCAACTGTTCTTGCCTCCACGGAGACCCATGGAGACCCAGAGCTGGCATAGGAAGGCCATTACTCACCATGTGGCCATGCTCTTCTGTTTTCTCAGCCCCTGCCGGGTCCAGCTTCTTCAGGGTGTCCTGAGACCCCCCAACTGCCAGCTGAAGGTCTACAGTTTCTTCCTCCTCCACATCCCCACCCACCTGCCCGAGACCCTCCCTGCTCCTTGCCATCCTGGACCAACCAGAAGCTGAGTGGATGCCATGCCAGGCTGGGGCCCCTCAGGACCTCCACAGAGCTGCCTCCTGGTGCTACGCAGCCTCCGCACTGAGCCTGGAGGCTGGGCTGGCCTGTGGGCCGGGGCCTGATGGTACTGCTGGCCCAACACTGCTCTTTTTGTGTTGTTTTTGTTTTCGTTTGTTTGTTGTTTTTTTAATTCTTTACTTTTGATACTGTGAAGATCTTTCCTGCCGAAAGATAAAACAACATTTGGACACAGAATTGGTGTGTTGGTTATTTGCTAGGCTGGGTGGGGGTGAGGTGAGGGATGTAATTAGAAGCATGGGGTCTGCCTTGGTCACTTAGGCATGTACTGTGTATCAGTGGCTTGGCATTGTTTCCACTTAATTCTTTTATTTTTTAATTTCTTTTTATTGTTGAAAAGATTACAAATGTCCCCACTTTTTCCCCCCATTGACCCCTTCCATCCCTCCACTCAATTTTTGTAGCTGTTCTAAGTGGGACTGTTAAGTGGGAATTTATAGACAGGAAAGTGACTATAGTTAGCTCAATTTGGCTGACTAGGGTTAGAGCACAGGCCTGTATGACTGCGGTCTCTGTGCCCTTTGCTCCTGTTATGAGGCCTTGTATGGGAGCAGCCCCTTCCCCACAATGTGTCTGTTTCTCCCCTGTAAGATGGGTGAATTAGAGAAATGGCACTTTGTCTGTGGGTAGTTGATGTGAGGAGGGACTTAGGGAAGTCATGAAGCCTTGAGGCCTTTATGGACAGTGCACCTGTAGCCTGGGTGTTTGGGGTTGTCAGGGAAAGTTGGGGGCGAGGGGGCGGGTAGATGGAGTTTTTATAAATTGGATCTGACTTTCCAATGGGAATAAGACATGTAGCTTAAGTACTTGAGAGTTAAGAGGATAATGAACTCTGTAAAGTAAAGCAAACTACCCCTCGCAGTAGATCTGGTTTGTAAATTCAGATTTTAATATAATAGGTTTGCTAAAAATGCCGTGTGTGTGTGTGTGTGTGTGTGTGTGTGTGTGTGTCCATCCATCCCAACTTCTTGCCCCCAATGTTGTTTTCTTAACTAAAACCAACTCTTAAGTGGAGAGTGATGGAGGCATTGGCCACACATCACTAAGATACCTTTATGGAGTGTTGGAAGCAGAATCAGAAACTGCTCCCTCTTCCCACCCCCACTCCTCCATGGGCTGGCAGTCAGTGCCAGCTTCCTCTTCTAAAGAAGTGAAACAGCATTGCCCACAGGTTTACAATTCCTGGGTCCTAGACTTTCCCAATCCCCAAGGAAGTATGGACACTCCTTTGAAACCTTTCTCTATATATTTATCACTCTAACTGTTGTACCAGCCTCCTGCCCTCAAGTTGAATTGGCACAGCTACCTAAAATTCTGCTTCATTTGAAAATTGCAAGTTTGATTGAGAAAGCACTTTACCTACAGATATAGACTTATGTGAGTGGCATTCTGGCCCCTCTGTGCCTGGCCTCTGCCTCTAGCACGAATTCCAGCCACACCTACAACCTCAGTCTCCTGCGAGGCTTGGCACCCTTAGATCTGACTTTTGCTCACATATTTCCCTCCTCCCAGATTACCCTTCTTTCATAAATTCCTGCTTATCCTTCACATCCGAGTTGAGAAGCCACTTTTACTGTGAGAATCAGTTTGCCCTTTGTGTAATTCCAAAAGTGGTACCATGTCTTTTGATACTTCTCCTTAACCTCAAGACTGGTTATATTTCTGTTTCCTCGACGAATCCATAATCTCACAAGCCAGGTTTGTGTCTTGTTCCTTTTTTATCTGCTTCAGCATTGCACAATGCCCAGGACACACTCATATTAAATATATGAAGAAAGGACCGCATTGACCCATCACTCCTCTCAGTCCCCAGTGACAAAATTACTTTGGCAGTCACCTCCCTGCATGCTCAGAGCCCAATTTACCTCTCCAACCCTTGCGCTGGCTCACCCCCACTCCCATGTGGGCGAAGTGATTTTTTTATTCTCTGGGAATCTGCGCTTGCACATGGCCAGACCATTCCTGCTGGACCCTCTAACTGGGAGGCCTTTTTCTTCCCCACTCCCTGCTCTGAGATTCCACACTTCCGTGGAAGCTCATTTCCAGGGTCTCCTCAGGTTCCCTCTAAGCTCTATATTCACAGCATTTAAAATAATCGCTTACACACATATGTACAGACGCTCAGTTGAAAACCACCGTCATCAGTATTTTATTTACTCCTCACTACTCTGAACATAGGTCCCACAAGAGGACACCAGTCAGGGCAGCAGGGCTTGAGTCATTTGTTCTGCAAGCCGTACCCTGCCCCCTGGTGGCCCTGAGGAATATGCAGACCGGGGCTGGATCCGGCTACGTCCCAGGGCTCCCGGGCCCCCAGAGGGGCGGGCATATCGGATGACGTCATGCTCTGAGCGCGACTAGGCACCTGGCGGGATCCGCGTCTTCATTTGGGGCACCGCCACCGCACTTGGTTTGATCCTTTAGCACCTGCTCCACAATGCTTTGCTTGACGCTTTCGCCCTCAGCCCTGGCATCAGCTGTATAGCCGCACAGGGAACATGGATGCCGTGCCGCAGGACAGGACAGCGGCTCAGGAGAAAGTTTGTCCCTCGGCGCGATCCGGCACTCAGGTCGTTGCTAGGCGCCGACGTACATTTCTTCACATCTGATTGGATCTCAGAAGTAAGGCGGGCTCTTTTGCCGTGGGGCGCATGCGTGCAAAAAAGGATGGAGGAGTCGGAACCTGAATGGAAGGTGGGAGTGAGGCTGGGGTCTGCGCGGGTGGCGAGCCCCAGTGAAGACGGGAAAGACGAGGGGGTTTGGGGCTTGACTCATGTGTCTCTGCAGCGGGCTCGTACCGACGAGGGGACTGCTGTAGGAAGCCGTTCCGAGGCAGATGATGAGGACGACGAGGATTATGTGCCCTATGTGCCATTGCGACAGCGCCGGCAGCTCCTGGTGAGGGCCCGGGGCCTAGGGAGGAATGAGGGTAGGGGGTGGGTATTTCGCAGTCGAATTGGGGGGGGGGCGACTTCTAGTCTACGGGGTGAGGTGTCTACACGGGATCGTGGGCCCCAGGCACGACCCGAGGGACTGGTGACCTAATCTGAGGAGTAGGGACAGTTCTGCACCTCGGGCCACGGCCTTCTCCCAAAAGCTAGGATCCTGCCACAGCTCCTGGGTGCGATGCCTCACTCTGTTGAGCTCGGCTCTGAGGGGCGCTGGTGAAACCTCAGCTCCAGAAGCTGCTACAGCGAAGACGCAAGGGAGCTGCTTCGGAAGAGGAGCAGCAGGACAGTGGCAGTGACCACCGGGGAGATGAAGACGACATCCCGCTGGGCCCACAGTCCAATGTCAGCCTCCTGGATCAACACCAGCACCTCAAAGAGAAGGCTGAAGGTGGGTTCATCAGTGGCAGGAGGCTCTGCTTGGTGCATTGCTTTGGTGTTTCTTTGACTTCTGTTTTTTTTCCTCAGCCCGCAAGGAGTCTGCCAAGGAAAAGCAGCTGAAGGAAGAGGAGAAGATCCTGGAGAGTGTGGCTGAGGGCCGAGGTATGGTAGCTTGGGCAGGGATGGAGCATGTTATATCTCAAGGAGCCTGGCCTCTGGGAAGCAAGAGGCAACCCTGAGCCACGTCTCTCTTCTCAGCCTTGATGTCAGTGAAGGAGATGGCTAAGGGAATCACATACGACGATCCAATCAAAACCAGGTGGGTATTTATAATTTCTGGAAAAGCAGTTATCCTTACCTGGAATAGTTTGTATCTGAGATTGGCAGGGACATGCCACAGGCAGCTGTGCTCAGGGCTTCTATTGATCCCTACCACCTACTTACAGTTGGACACCTCCCCGCTATGTCCTGAGCATGTCTGAAGAGCGGCATGAGCGTGTACGGAAGAAATATCACATTCTGGTGGAAGGTGATGGTATCCCACCACCCATCAAGAGCTTCAAGGAAATGAAATTTCCTGCAGGTATCTGGGCAGTGGGAGAGGCACCACACTTTGATAGTCAAACATCTGTGAGGTTGCGTCCCATCCCCCAGCAGCTGCAGCATAGCCAGTGGGGATGGAGGGATTTGATGAGAGGTTTCTTTTTTTTTTTTTTGTATCCTCACCCGAGTACATTGTGTTTATCTTCAGATAGAACAGGAAGGAGAGAGGGAGGAAGAGAGAGAGAAACATCAATGTGAGAGAGACACATCAAGTGGTTGCTACCCACACGACCCCAGTTCCCAACCGGGGCCGGGGACAAACTGCAACCAAGGCACGTGCCCTTAGCAGGAACCGAACCCAGGACTCTCTGGTCCGTGGGCCGATGCTCCAACCACTGAGCCAAACAGGCCAGGGCATTGATGAGGGGTTTCTTTAGGTTCCTTTTTCAGTTGTGCCAGCTGAACATATTCACTGTCTGTGCCATTAGGGACCTTAATTGGGCAAGTGAGGCTGGGCTTGGACAGATACGAGTTTTAATCCTGCCTCCACTTAGCCTAGGAGCTTTAAACAGGTCTCTCAGCCTTTCTTTCCCTGGGCCTCAGTTTTATCATTTGTAACTTGGGGGGAATGGTGGCAGTTTTAGCTTGGGGACCTGGCAAAGTACCTGTGAGACACAAGTGTGATATCGGGGTTGTTTTCTGTAGCCATCCTGAGAGGCCTGAAGAAGAAGGGCATCCATCACCCAACACCTATTCAGATCCAGGGCATCCCCACCATGTAAGTGTGGACCTTGGGGCCCTGAAAAGGGCAGTGATGGGCAGTTCCTGTACTCCACTGAACCTGACCCAAAGGCTTGTTCTCTGTCAACAGTTTATCTGGCCGTGACATGATAGGCATCGCCTTCACAGGTTCAGGCAAGACACTGGTGTTCACTTTACCTGTCATCATGTTCTGCCTGGAACAAGAGAAAAGATTACCTTTCTCCAAGCGTGAAGGGCCCTATGGACTCATTATCTGCCCCTCGGTAAGATAGGCTGGCCTAGAAGACAGGGCACCAATGAGACTGTCTTCTGGTACCAGCCACTGCCCCTGTATCTGCAGCGAGAGCTGGCCCGACAGACCCATGGCATCCTGGAATACTACTGCCGCCTACTGCAGGAGGACAGCTCGCCACTCCTGCGCTGTGCACTTTGCATCGGGGGCATGTCTGTCAAAGAGCAGATGGAGACCATCCGACAGTGAGCATAAGCATTCCTCACCCCAGGGCTTCCCCAAAGCCCCTAGATAAGCTGAAGGATCCTTTGCTTTAGCTACTCTTCATATCCTTGCAGAGGCCTAATTCAGAGTCCCCAATCTCATGGAGAGGTCAGCTGGGATGAGACAGGATGTGGTGAGGGACTGTGGGGACACAGCAGATGGAACAGGGGCATCTGGAAAGTCAGGGGATCCAGGCATTTCAGACAGAAGTAGGGGGCCTGAGGTGTCCAAAAAGGTTAGGCTCATTCAGTGTATAGCCCAGCAAGGAGGTTGAGGCACTGGACTCATGCTCTTCCACACAGTGCAGTCCCCAGCAAATATCACCGGCTGTCTGGGGTTACAGACAAGTCACACCCAGTCCCTGTTTGATAGGCATTCCCAGTCCCAGGGAAAATGCAGACACAGAACAGTTCAATTCAGTGTACCAGTAAAGTGAGCCATTCCAGATCTATGGAGGGAGCTGAGGGAGTGCAGATTGAGGCCTATTTGGAGATTCAGGACAGGCCCCTCCTGGGGGTAAGAGGAATGACCCAGGAGAAGGGGGAAGGACGTGCCAGGCAGAGGTGAACACATAGTTGGGAAGCGCTCTGGAGTACAGACAGCATTGGTCAAGAAGGCTGCAACCTGCTCCAGTAGAGATGTATGCTGTACATAGGGCAATACAGTGGGAGTGATCAGGAGAGACAGGAAAGAGCCAGAGGGCAGAAATCATAGTGCTGGCCTTTAAGTAGGGCTGAGCAGGTTGCCCTGACCTCAGAATCTCTCCTTGGTTCCCAGTGGTGTGCACATGATGGTGGCCACCCCTGGGCGCCTCATGGATCTACTACAAAAGAAGATGGTCAGCCTAGACATCTGTCGGTACCTGGCCCTGGACGAGGCTGACCGCATGATTGACATGGGCTTCGAGGGCGACATTCGCACCATCTTCTCCTACTTCAAGGTGCCCATCTCTGCCTGGTCAGGGCACTACTGCCACCCTCAGGGCTGCCCACCCACTGTCCCAGCTGCTCAGCTTCCCCAGCCCCCACATGCCCTCAGCCCCAGCTCTCCCCTTCTTTAGGGTCAGCGCCAGACCCTACTCTTCAGCGCCACCATGCCTAAGAAGATACAGAACTTTGCCAAGAGTGCCCTGGTGAAGCCTGTCACAATCAATGTGGGGCGCGCTGGGGCCGCCAGCCTAGATGTCATACAGGTGGGTGAGCATTCCTGGTGGGCAGTCTCACCACTGAACTCTGGATCTGGTGAGGTTCCTTTGGAGCGGGATGGAACAGGATGGGTGGTCTACCTTGGGAGCACTAAGGGTTTCGTTCAAAGCCCCAGCCCTTAGCAGGAAACATTCTGAGGGTGCCCAGCGCTTGGTGGCAAGAGGTTTCTGATCACCTCCTGGCAGGGATTGGGGGCACCCAGCCTCTGTGGCAGAGCCATGGCTGGTGAGTTCGTTCCCAAGACCACCTGACCTGGCCCCTGTGATGGCAGGAGGTGGAATATGTGAAGGAGGAGGCCAAGATGGTGTACCTGCTTGAGTGCCTGCAGAAGACACCCCCACCCGTGAGTATAGCCGGCCAGGCTTGCCCTGGACTCCCAGGATGATGGGAGTGTGCAGTGGAGGTAACACACTGGGGAAAGTTGGGGACACTGGGCGGAGGCAGTCCCTGTGACGAGTTGGCCTTTCTGGACAGGTACTCATCTTTGCAGAGAAGAAGGCCGATGTGGATGCCATCCATGAGTACCTGCTGCTCAAGGGGGTCGAGGCCGTGGCCATCCATGGCGGCAAAGGTCAGGCTGGCATGTGTATAGGCACGGACTCTGCTGCTTTAGTGGCTTCTCACCTAACCCCTTTCCCTACTGGCTGGCTTGCCACTACTCCCCAAACTTCTGCTGTCACTCTGACAACTCCCGCTTGACCCTCCCCAGACCAGGAGGAACGGACCAAGGCCATTGAAGCATTCAGGGAAGGCAAGAAGGATGTTCTAGTGGCCACAGATGTAGCCTCCAAGGGCCTGGACTTCCCTGCCATCCAGCATGTCATCAATTACGACATGCCTGAGGAGATCGAGAACTATGGTGGGAACTTGTGGGATGGGGGTGCAGGCTAGGCCCCGGCCCCAGCCCCAGGCCGTGGACCAGAGGCTGTTTCCTCTCTCTGCAGTGCACAGAATAGGCCGTACTGGACGCTCAGGAAACACAGGCATCGCCACCACCTTCATCAATAAGGCTTGTGGTGAGTCTACTGCCAGGGCCACAACAGTTGTCCCGAGTCCTACAGGGCCCAGTGTTGGACCTAATGATTCCCCACTGCCCCACAGATGAGTCAGTGCTAATGGACCTCAAAGCCCTGCTACTGGAGGCCAAGCAGAAGGTGCCACCTGTGCTGCAAGTGCTGCACTGTGGGGACGAGTCCATGCTGGACATTGGAGGTGACTGCGAAACGGAGACAGTAGTCCAGAGGGGGGCATGACGGGAACACCATGAAACAAGTCCACACTGCACATGAGTGGATGGGGGGCAGGGTCTGGGGCATGGAACCTGACTGTTACCATGCTGATCCCCATTCTCCCATACCCCCAGGAGAGCGTGGCTGTGCCTTCTGTGGGGGCCTGGGCCATCGGATCACCGACTGCCCCAAACTTGAGGCCATGCAGACCAAGCAGGTTAGCAACATCGGCCGAAAGGACTACCTGGCCCACAGCTCCATGGACTTCTAGCCACCTCTCATCCTTCCTTCATAAGAGGCCTCGGTCCCTGCGTCCCAGCCGCCTCCCACACACCAGCCCCCTGGACAAGAAGCCAGCATCCTCGGCCCAGCTGGCCTAGGCTGGGCCTGGCTGCCTGCCCTCTGTACCCCTGGAATTAATATTTTCCCTCCCCTTTACCCCAGTTGCCATTAAAGCACAAGCCTCTCTAGTCTCAGCCTCAGCCCTGCCTCTGTGTTTCACCTCATCTGCCCACTGCTTCCTGGCAGCCTCACCTTCTGACCTCCAGAGCCCTTTTGAAGCAGGGTCTGAGTATCTCCCCAACACCCAGATGTCTCAGTTGTGGAAGGAGGCATCAAGCTGTGGTACTCTTCTGAACCAGCTTTATTTGTGACTCAGAGGCACTACTCGGTAAACAAGGCAAAATCTTTGGTCAGGTTTTTGGGTCTCTGGTTGTTTGTCACAATCTCCAGCCCTGCCCCAGCCTCCCTCTTGTCAATTGTGTGAGGCTCCTAGGGCCCTTGAGAGGCAACTTCCTGCCTCGGGACCCCTGTTCCTGGTAGGGAACCCTCCGCTCTGTTTGCTAAGGGGCAGCCAGTGCCACAGGACTGCCACTCAAGCTACAAGCACTCCCTGACATTCTCTGTGCCAAGCTTTCTGCTGGGCAGCTCACTGGTGACTGGAAAAGAGAGCAGACATAATGAACATGGGCAATAGTCATGAGAATGTTAGCAAATGGACCAGGATTTCAACATATGGCAAGGCGTATGCAGAGGACCAGAGCTGGTGACTGTTCCTCTGTGCCAGGTACTTCATGTACAGGGCCACATGCTTATCCCAGCAGGACAGCAGTTGCTCAAGCTGTGTTTGTCACTTGGTGTGTGGCCTTGGGCAAGTTACTTAATGTTTCTGAGCCTCGATTTCCTCATTGTTGAAATGACAGGGTACAAAGGGCTTAGTTTCTAAGATGAGCTCAGGGCTGTCTGATCCATGTCTGGTACAAAGCCAGGTGCAGGAGGCCCTTGGAAAGGATTCCTTGCCTGAGAAGCAGCACACTCCGTATGTGACCCCCAAACCATATTCCTGAGCCTGTTTACATGTTCCTTTCCAGAGGTGGCTTTGATAATCACATGAGGCTCTTTCCTGAATTCAGATCCACATGCAGAGCCATAATTCGGCCTCCAGCAAGGCAAGGGGGGAAAAAAATAGGCCCCCAGCAAGAAGCAAAGCTTATAAAGAGCATGTGAGCTCTCTAGGGAGCCCACTGGGAGCAAAGCACCTACGTTCATGTGGCCAGGGCCACACATGGGGACTGGGGCACACTGCTGGGGCCTTGGTGCTCTGGAGGAGTTGGGCTGGAGTCAGGACTCAACACCTTGAGTGCTGGCCTTAGGAGCCCAGACTATACCCGAGGGTAGTGGGGAGCCAGAAAACATTTAGAAAAGGGAGAGATGGGTAGGTCTAGGTGGGGCAGTGGTTCAAAGGGGGGTGCTTAGGCTGGCATTGGACTGGGGTTGTGAAGATGGAGAGAGCAAGTGAAAGTTAATAGATATTTGGAGATAAGGGCAAGCCAACCAACCAGGGTTGCAAGTGGGGAAGCAAGGAGTTTGCCAGTCCGGCTGTAAGAAGGCCAGGCCCAGGGTGCACAACTGCCCACGGGGGTAACTGGGGAGTCAGTCTGTAGGTCAGATGCTCATACCTCCTGACCCAGATGCAAGCATGGGTCATTTGCCCTCAGGTGTCTGAGGCCCCTGCCAGGCTTTCATGGGCACCTTGGCCAGAACCCTAGGGAAGAAATACGTAATGCCCCCACCCCCATCCTAGCTCTTTTACTGACAAAGGGGCTCCCCTCCCCCAGCCACACAGCTGCCTCTCTGGACAGAGGGAGGGGAAGTGGCCAGAAGAGGAAGTGTGAGGAGTTCCCTTCAGCCTGTCACCAGTCTCCTCAGGCCTTCGGAGTGGCGGCCCTTGGGCCCGCTGCAGCCATGGAGCCTCTGGAGACCCCCGTCAAGGATGGCATCCTCTACCAGCAGCACATCAAGTTTGGCAAGGTTGGGACTCTGGCTGCCCAGGATAATTGATGAGCCTCCACCCAGCCTCAGCCCACCTGGACCGGGGAGAATGGTGATGGGAATGAGGGTGGGGAATACAACCCAGGTGTGGGGGTGGGACAGAGCCCCCGCCTCAGCCTAAGCAAGAGGGCTGAGCCTGAGTGGGCCTTGGGGAGACCCTGCCTCATTTATAGATGGGGAAGCCAAGAGTTAGGGGGGGTCTAAGAACCCAAACCTTGAAGCAGGGCAGGGCAGAGCTGGAGGCTGGCTAATCAATCCAGCAGTCTTCCACCCTTTGGAGGGCCAGGGGCTGAGCTGGAGGAGCCCCCAGAGGTGGAGCCCCACCCTGCAGAAGAGAGCTCCTTGGCTCCTCCCAGCCTGTCATGGGACACAGTCGGGGGTTCTCTTCTCTTCAGGCAGCAGGCCCTGCACCCCTACAACTCAGCTGCAGCTGCTGCCCAGGCAGATAAACTGTTTCCTTTGCTTGACACTACTTGCATGTTTCCTTCCTTGCCATGATGAGAGTGAGGCCTCCCTCCTGCCACAGTCCTTGTCCTGTGGCCCAAGTGACCTTTGGTGGGGGAGGGGCACCAACAGAAAGCAGTGTCAGATAGTCTGTTTCAGCCACTAGATATTTTACAGACATAATCCAGTAGAAGCCCCAACCTCACATTGTCATGACCTTTTGAGAGACTAGGACACTAGTGTTTATGGGGGTGCCAGTTAGGAAAATGTGGGATGGATTTAAACCCAGGGCTGACTGACCCCAAGCACAGACTGCCCTTTGTTGGGCTGGCTGTGGCAAGATCTCCTTCTCTGAGGCCCTGAGGAATTGGGGGTGGCGGAGGCCAGCCTGAGTGGCCAGGAGTGTTTGCTGAGTGGCTTGTGCTGAGCTGAGCTACAGTGAAGGTCTTCACCCCCATCCTCATCTCCCACAGAAGTCCTGGCGAAAGGTGTGGGGTCTGCTGTATGCAGGGGGCCCATCAGGCGTGGCACGGCTGGAGAGCTGGGAAGTCCGGGATGGTGGCCTGGGGCCAGCTGGTGATCGGTCTGCAGGTCCTAGCCGAAGAGGAGAGCGGCGAGTCATCCGCCTGGCTGACTGTGTGTCAGTGCTGCCAGCTGACGGTGAGAACTGCCCCCGGGACACTGGTGCCTTCCTGCTCACCACCACTGAGCGAAGCCACCTGCTGGCCGCACAGCACCGCCAGGCATGGATGGGCCCCATCTGCCAGCTGGCCTTCCCGGTGAGCACAGGGCAAGCGGGCAGGGTATCCAAGGTCTGGCCCTGGGGGGACTGGCTCACCCCCAACTTTTTCATTCCTTATTCACTCACATCCTGTCACTCAGCAAGCACCTGCTAAGTACCTATGAACCTGGGAAACAGCCCAGAAACAGAAACCACAGAACAAATCTCAAATGGCCATGCATGCTGTGGAGAAAATGAAAGGCTGGGGTGGGATCAGGAGTGAACCAGGGGACACTAGGCAGGATGGTCAAAGAAGGCCTCTCAGGAGGGGACAGTAGCCTGAGTCCTCAAGGACACCCTACCAGGCAAACATCTAAGGAGAGTGTCCCAGACACTGAGGTCCAAAGAGTATCCTGAACAGAGGGAGGAGCAGTGTGGGTAAAGGCCCTGAGGCAGGGAAAAGTTTAATTTGGCTGGAGGGCAAGGAGTGGGGGCCCAGGAACACGCAGAGGCAGGCAAAAGAATTTGATGAGAACCTACTGAAACCACCTTGGGCCACATGTGGAGTTTGGGATTTTATTAAGGGTGAGAGGAGAAGCCTTTGGGGGTTTGAGCTAGGGACTGAGTTTTAAAAACTTCACAGGGTCTATAATGGACCAAAAGGAAATGACTCTAGTGGGTTCCTCAATTAGTGCAACAGAGTTACCATATGACCCAGCAATTCTCAAGAGAATTGAAACTGATGTTCAAACAAATCATGTGCAAAAATGTTCAGAGCAACACTATTCCCAATAGCCCAAAGGTGCAAACAATCCAAATGTCCATCTGCTAATGGGAGATAAACCAAGTGTGTCTGTCCATACAATGAAACGTTGCTCGACCATAAAAAGGAGTGCACCACTGACACGTGCTACTCAGTGGATGAACCCCGAAAACATTAAGCTAAGCCAACAAAGCCAGGCACAAAAGGCCCCTTATTGTATGATTAGGCAAATCCAGAGCAATAGAAAGCAGATTGGTGTTCGCCAGGGGCTGGGGGCAGGGAGGAAAGTGGCATGGGTATGGGTTTTCATATGGAGTGATGAAACATCCTGGAATTAGATAAAGGTAATGGTTTCACAATCTTGTGACTTTACTAAAAAACACTGAATTGTATACTTCAAACTGAATAAAATGGTAAATTTTGTGATGTATATTTAATTTTTTTTTCAATTTAAAATTTTTACGTTAAAAGAAAAAGAAAGAAATGAACAAGAGTAAGAGAGCAGTGAGGAACCACTGCATTTGGCCCTAGCCTTGCTACCTGGGCCAGGGTGCTCATAGTTGGGATGCTGAGAGTCGGCCTGAGGACATAAAGGGACTAGAGGTAGGAGGGGTGAGATGGAGCCTGAGGCCTGGGGGAGGAGTGAGTGACCAGTTCACTTGTTCCCACCCTGAAACTCCTGCCCCTTTACCACTCTAAATTGTGGGGGATATACAGGGCTGTCCTGGTCCCCAGCCTAGTGTAAGGGTAAGAGGACCATCTTGTTGTGTGTCCCTAATTTACAGCTCTCAGCACCCTCAGGGGGAAGGATAAGATTGCAGAGGGGAAATAGTCTCAGGGGTGCCCAGGCTTGTGCAGTGTGTCAGGGGCAGAGCTGGGACTGGTACCAGGTCTCTGGATGCACTTGCTTGTCCAAGTCCTGGGTGACATTTCTCCCCATGAAAAGGATGCAGGAAGAGGTGTGGGGGTGTGAGGGGTAGTGGGACTCTAATCTCTGACCTTGGCCCATTTCCCAGGGCACAGGAGAATGTTCCTCTGGATCAGGGGAGGTGGAGGCTCCCAAGCGGGGCCTGGTCCCCATGGAAGAGAACTCCATCTACTCTTCCTGGCAGGAAGGTGAGTCGGGGAGGTGCACGGGCAACCTCAGCGCCACCACACCCAGGGCTGAGACCTCTGGGGGACCATAGTGCTGTGCCCTCTGCTTGCAGTGGGCAAATTTCCAGTGGTGGTACAGAGGACAGAGGCAGCTGCCCGCTGCCAGCTGAAGGGACCCTACATCCTGCTGCTGGGCCAAGACACCATCCAGCTGAGTGAGCCAGCCAGTCTGAAGGCCCTCTACACCTGGCCCTACCACTTCCTGCGCAAGTTTGGTTCTGACAAGGTGAGGTACTGGGTCTGCAGTGGAGGGGACTAGGAGACAGTGGGAGATCAAGGGACCCCTTGGCCACTGACCTGCCCATGTCACCCATGACCAGGACGTGTTCTCCTTTGAAGCTGGCCGCCGTTGTGACTCAGGTGAGGGCCTCTTCGCCTTCAAAAGCCCCCGAGCTCCAGACTTGTGCAGGGTTGTGGCTGCTGCCATCACCCGCCAGCGGGAGCGGCTGCCTCAGCTGGGGGGGCCCCGGCCCTGCCCCCTGCCCCGGGCCACCTCCCTGCCCTCACTTGAGCCTCCTGGAGAGCTTCGGGAGTTGCCCCCTGGGCCTGAGCCTTCAGGCTCCCATAGGGCACACCTGCCCGAGCCTGGGCCACAGAGCCTGCCTCCGCTGCCTGTGGAGCCTGGGCTGTATGCTGCTGTGTGCAAGCCGGCCAGCGGTCCCCTGCGCACAGCTGAGCACCTCTATGAGAATCTGTGTGCGCTAGAAGCTGGCCCCATACAACCTGACCTGGGGGGCCCTATGCAGGAGGGCCCTAGAGGCTGCAGTCCCCCAGCCAGCCCCATCTACCACAACAGCGAGGACCTGGGCTGGCCTGGCCCAGCCCATGACAGTAACCTGGAGGCCCAGTACCGGCGGCTGCTGGAGCTGGAGCTTGGTGACAGTGGCAATGAGGCTGGGGTCTCTGGCCACCCTGGTGCCCATACAAGCTTCAAGGCCAAGTTGGTGACACTGCTGAGCCGAGAGCGGAAGAAGGGCCCAGCCCCCTGCGACCGGCCCTGAATGCCTGATGTGGCCTGGCATGGGACAAGAGGGTGGGCAAACAATGGACATCTGGGGACACAGCTCTGTACCCACTCTGGCCTTTGGGGCCAAGGCAGGTGGCCTGAGGAGGCCCCTCAAGAGCGTTGCCAGCCCCCCAGTGTATAGGGTACAAGTCTCTGACAATAAAGCCTCTAGCTCCCCTCTTGGTCCTGCCTTGTGGTCCATAGCCTGCACCTCCTCATTTCAGCTCCTGACAGAGGCACTTGGGATCCACATAGGCACACAGCCCCTCCCTCACATGTGTTGCAGCAAATACCAGTGTCTTCTGCTGGGTCCTAGGGGCATAAATGACCTGGACCTGACCTCTGCTACCAGTGGTCTCAAGTCCACTTCAGCAGGCAGGCAGGATGCAGACATGTGCAGTAGAGTAAGAAAGTCAGGCAGAGGAGAAGTAAGATGTCCTCTGGATGGAGTGTGAAGGGAAGGCAGGGCTGCACCAGGTGGGCAGGGAGTCCCAGGGCTTCCAGGCCAAGGGTGGGAATGGTGGGCACAGAGAGGAAGAGAAGAGTGTGTATACAGAGGGCCCCAAGGGGCTGAGGGGGAGTTAGTGGCTAAGCATAAACTCAGCCTGACCATCCTGCAATAATCTTGGTCTCATCCTCAGTGAAAGGATGATCAGACTATGGAAGGAGCAATGTGGAGGCCAAATACAGTGATACCTCGGTTCGCGAACGCCTCGGTTTTCGACCAAATCGGGATTCGAGAAACTTTTGTCTCGGAATCCGAACAAATATTTGGAACTCGAACTTCCGAGTTGAGCCGAATGGCGTTCATTCGGCCCAGCGCGCCTTGCTTGCGTCATCAGTGTGAGTGCAGAGAGAGAGTCACGCTTTGTGGAGTCACGCTTTCCTATTGGTTTCATTGCTTCGGTTCTCGAACAATTCGGTTCTCGACCGTCCTCCTGGAACGAATTATGTTCGAGAACCGAGGTATCACTGTATGAGGGAGCCCAACTAGAGACTAGGAAGTCTGATCTGGGAAGAAGGTGATGGGGGTGGCAGGAAGGATGGGTGGAAGGGACTTTAACATGTACACACCCAAAAACCATGCTCTTGCTGAGACACATGCTCAAGTGCACAGTCACTTTGGGGAACCCCTGACCTCAGTTTCTTCAACTGTCAAGGCTAAAGATCAAATTACACCGTAGGCATGCATTCATTCATTTTTTACTGCATGTTTTACCACGAGCTTACTCTGTGCCAGGCACTGGTAACACTGGTAACAGGAGCCCCCGAAACCAGAGAGAGATAAGCAAGTCTCATGAAGACTTTAGTGGCTTCCTTACTGTCCTCCCCTCGTGCTACTTCCTGTCACCATCCCTGGGGCCTCGTATACACAAGAATCATGCCCCATGAGGACCTAGCCTCCTGGCCTCTTGATCACAACTCTGCCTCAGCTGCCTACACCCTTGGCACATCCCAATTTTGTCTTCATGACAGTGACGCTCCATTGTCACTTCACAGTGATGCAATCTTATTTCCAAGCATCTGATCTGGCTACTCCTTCTCTCCTTCCGGCCCACTTCCTCTAGCATGACACATACAGCTCCTCCCCAGCTGTCCGGAACTACAGTGACCCTTCTCTGGCTGTGTGCATGGCTGCTGTCCGCTATCTTATCCTTGTCCCACTTAAATTCTGTGCTCCACCAATGGAGCCACCCCCACGCACTCCTCTCTCCTTCCATCTTATTTGTCCAGCAAAGCCCCAGCCTTGGGTGGATCAACTCTCCTCTGTGCCTGGCAGCTGCTCACAGCCAGAGAAATTCATGCAACCAGGCTTGATTGCATTGCTTTTACCAAAGTGACCTCAAACCTCACATAGGCAGGCTCTCCATACTGCCCAGAGATCCTGCGTCCTCGAGTAGCTCTTTTTCTGCTCCCCAAGACCTTCCATCTTCTCCCCTCCTCCCCCGTCCATTCTCACCTTGCAGATATCTGACAGAACACCCTCCACACACCTGAAACTAATATAATTTTAACTGTCAACTGCAATTGGAAAATTAAAAAATTTTTTAAATAAAATATTTACTTAGACTATTTAAAAAAAAGAGGTGAACACCCTCCACCTCCCACCACCTCACCTCTTTCCTGACTTATGACAGGAAAAGCATCTATTCCCAAAACATCTGTGCTCTGACCCCAGCTCCTTTCACTTCACAGCTCAGCAAATGGAACTGTCCCCTCTCTCCTCGACCCATTAATTCCATTGTTGTTGTCATAATTTCCAGCCACTCCAAAATGCTCTATAATTTCACATCTATAAAAGAAACTTTCCCTTGACCTTGAATTCACCTCCCCACTTCTCTGTTCCTCTCCAAGGAGAAAGTCTTCAAAAGAGTTGTTGATTCCTCTCATTTCCACTTTCTAACCTCCCATTCTCCCTCACACCAACTCGTTTCCCAGTGATGCCCACTACTCCACTACATCACTTTTATCAAGGTTACCAACCTCCTTGTTCCCCAAAATAAAAGAAAACTGGACTCCCTTTGTGACCTGGACTCTCCCAGCCTCTCAACAGCATGTGACAGCCCTCCTTGACATGCCGTCTTCACCTGGGTTCCCACCTCCTCTGCCTGAGTTCTGCTTGGAGCTCTGGCCTGGAACACAGTGTAGCTCAACCCTGGCTGCACGTGTAATCACCTGAGAGCCTTTTAAAAATGCCCATGTGGCCCTGGCCGGTTTGGCTCAGCGGTTGGAGCGTCGGCCTGCGGTACAGAGAGACCCGGGTTCGGTTCCCGCTAAGGGCACGTACCTCGGTTGCAGTTTGTCCCCGGCCCTGGTTGGTCGTGCGGGTGGCAGCCACTTGATGTGTCCCTTCACATCAATGTTTCTCTCTCTCTCTCTCTCTCTCTCTCTCTCTCTCTTCCTCTCTCTCCCTCCTGCTCTATCTGAACAAAAAAATGGAAAAATGTCCTCGGGTGAGGATAAAAAAAAAAAAAAAAAAATGCCCATGTGGCCCTGGCCAGTTTGGCTCAGCGGTTAGAGAGTTGACCTGCGGTCCGGAGAGACCCGGGTTCGGTTCCCGCTAAGGGCACATACCTCGGTTGCAGTTTGTCCCCAGCCCTGGTTGGTCGTGCGGGTGGCAGCCACTCGATGTGTTCCTTTCACATCGATGTTTCTCTCTCTCTCTCTTCCTCTCTCTCCCTCCCACTCTATCTGTACAAAAAATGAAAATGTCCTCGGGTGAGGCTAAAAACAAAATAAAATAAAATAAAAAATAAAAATGCCCATGTGGCCCTGGCCAGTTTGGCTCAGTGGTTGGAGCATCGACCTGCGGACCAGAGAGTCCTGGGTTCAGTTCCTGCTAGGGGCACATACCAAAATAATAAAAATAAAAAAATAAATACATAAAAATGCCCATGTGCCCAGCTGGTGTGGCTCAGTGGTTGAGCGTCGTCAACCCATGCACCAAGAGGTCGCCAGTTCGATTTCCGGTAAGGGCATATGCCCAGGTTAGGTTGTGGGCCAAATCCCCAGTGGGGGGCATGCAGGAGGCAGTAGATTAATGTTTCTCTCTCATATCAATGTTTCTATCTCTCTTTCCCTTCCTCTCTCTCTAAAAAAAAAATGTTAAAAATGCCCATGCTGCCCTGGCGGGTTTGGCTCAGCAGTTAGTGTCACAAGTTCAAGTCCTGGTCAAGGGTATATACCTGGGTTGCAGGTTCAATCCCTAGCCCTGGTTGAGGTCATGTGGGAGACAACCAGTCTATGTGTCTCTCTCACATTGATGTTTCTCTCTCTTTCCCTCTCCCTCCCTCCCACTCTATTTAAAAATCCGTGGAAAAATATCCATGTGAGGATTAACAATAACAAAAAATGCCCACGCCTGGGCCCATACCCACACACTAGGGCTTTAGTCCTGCAGGGACATTTCCTCAGTTCCCCAGGTGCTTGCAGTGTGAGTCCAGGGTTGAGAACCATGGCCCTAATTAAACAATCCTGTCTCTACATCTCACAGACCAAAGGCACATCATCATTGCAGACCTCTTCCACGAGCTCTGGATTTGAGAATGTAACTAGATGCTAGACTCTGGGTGTCTAAAATCTTGAAATGTCATGTGTGAAGGGACGTTGAGGGACAATGGGTGTTCTGTGCAGTGCTCTCCCAGGGTGTCTGTTGCCACAGAGGGTAAAGTCCAGAAAGATGTTGAAGCCGTGATTGGGGCTGCAGATTTTGCCCCACTTATGGACACTCCTCCTGATCAGGTTGCCTGCTGTAGAGCAAGCTGAAAGGAGGCCCCCAGAAAGAGTGGCTGAAGCAGGGACCCCTCCATTCCACAGGGAAAGCTAACCCTGGCCAGCAAATATTAGTTTACACTGGAGGTTACCCAGAGAGTCAGGGACATGGTCAGAACTAGAACCCAGGACTCTGGGTACCCAATCTTGCGTGCTTTTCTTTATTAAAAATCTAAGCCTCAGACCCTGGCCAGTGTGGCTCAGTTGGTTGGAGTGTCATCACATGCACCACCAAAAGGTCTTGGGTTTAATTCCCAGTCAAGGTACATATCCAGGTTGCACCCTGATCCCGTCAGGATTTGTATGGTAGGCCACTAATCAAGGTTTCTCTCTCTCTCTCTCTCTCCCCCCCCTTCTTCCTTCCTCTCTCTCTAAAATCAATTTACAAAAAAAAAATCTAAGCCTTTTTGTTTCATGGCAGTTGCTCTGAGGTTTCAACCAGACTGGAAGAGAAAGTCTTTGCAAATCTCTAGGACTTTAGGGGCCTTGCCCTGGAGCTGCAAATGTCCTGGTCACCAGGGGGCACTCTGTCCTAGCTCCAGGCTTGTTCCTACCCAGGGCCTGCCTATGCTAGAAGCTCTGATGGCTTTATCTAGGCCTGAGCCTTGCACAACAGGCCCAAGGAACTGGATGCTGGGGTCTTCTCTGCTGTAGGACTGCCAGGACCTCCAGGATTCCCTTTCTTTCTTTGCTTATTTGCTGTTTCACTCTCTCAATCCCTCCTTCATCCCCACTGTGTGCAGGCACTGGGGTAAATGGTGGACAAGACAGATGAGCCCCTGCTCTCATGGCACTGACATTCTAATCGGGACAAAGGGCAATGAAGAAACAAACACATGTCCTGGCTGGTTTGGCTCTCAGTGGTTGGAGCATCGGCCTGTAGACCAGAGAGTCCCAGGTTCAGTTCCAGCTAGGGGCACGTATCAA